CGGAAATAAAAAGTGAAGAAAGACTCGAATCATTTAAAAGAATGTTAAAAACATATGTTATAGCAAATGTTTGTTAAAACTGTATTTAAAATAGCTGAGAAAGCTAACTAAAGATCAATCAATCAATCAATCAATCTCTCTCTCTCTCTCTCTCATCAAACGTTCAACGCGCTCATACCGCCATCTCTTACAAGCACTAGGAAACTGCACACATTCCTGGCACATTCCTTAGTCCGAAGACGACGTCCGAACATCGTAAATTTCACACACATTTTCGATTATATCCATATATCTCCATTTAGAAGCCACAAACCAAAACAACGCAACAATACTTTTTTTTTAATTTTTTGTTCTACAGCAATTGAGACCAAAACGAAAGTGATCGGTTCAACCGTTCTTTAACAATTGCTTTGAGAAAATCTCCCCACTTCTCATTGCATACAATCTCGCGTATAAGAGGCACAGTGTGCTCGCGCAATTCGAGCGCCACTTCGTTGCGCGTGAACTTGGCGCGAGGCACTACCGTGCCTCTCGATATATGTTTAAAGGATATATATTTATAAATATATATCCTTTTGTTCAAAAACTTTTGTAGTACATATGTACATACATACATACGTAGTAAAACTAACTATAAGCATTAGTATTTATTATCAGCATCATATATACTTCTAATAAATATTTACTTTCATAAACACTTTAGAAAAGTATTTCTTAATAAATACTTTATCAAACAAATCGTAATGAGATGAGTTCGAATTATTTTTTAGTTCACAGTTTCTAATTTTCAAATTATGTTCTAAGACATAGCGTATCTGTTTTATACATACATACCCTCAAAAGTATTAATACAATTCTATACAAGGTTAACATAAAAAAGACGGAACTTTTAATAATATTAAAGCATCACATACTTGCACGTTCTTCCAATTAATTCCTGGTGGCAGCAACTCGGGAACAATACTGCATATATGTACAATGTATGTATGTATGTAGGTACTCAAATCTCGTGTTCATATGGTTATAGGTGCGTATATATGCATTTATATGCATTGTTGTGCTACAATGTCACAACGAGTTCTTTTGGACAGGAGATGTACAGGAACAGGGGGAAGAGTCCACTTGATTCAGACTTAACAAGTCTTTATTTCAATCTCTTACAATTCTTCTTAACAGTACGACGTCTTGTAAACTAATTTCGACGCTGTAACCTCGCAGCGTCCTTTTATACCGCTTTTTTGGGACACTGGGCAGCATCGCTTTGCATGTACGACCTCGTGTCACAGCAAAACAATGTTGCACCACCCGCTTAACTCTGCTTGATCAGCACGCGGAGACAAATCTGTCACTCCTGCTGATCAAGCAATACGTGCTTAAACTACTTATCCTTTTAAAAACAGATTGTGTCAGCTAATATATATTCTTATAATAAAAGTACCAAGTGTTTCGCAACTCAAGAAAACAATAATACTCTTATCATAAACTCTATTTCTTAACTTAGTAATTCCGGCACAACATCTCCCTTCCCCCGGAAAAAAGAAAAAACATAGTTTTTTCGCTAATTTAACAACACATAAACGCAAAGTTTACGGAGTCGCGGATTGTCCCAGAACGGTACGCACCCGATCCGCTCTACTTATACTAGGGTATACTACATTGACTTTCCACTTACTCACGTATCTTCACGCGACAATTACCACTATGACTACTACAAACATTACCCCGGTGTCGTCCACTCTACATTTAATACCCACCTCAAATACCTTTTGTGCAAACTCTCTATCTTCCTCCATTCCTTCCATCCCCACACCTCCACTCCATATCCTACCACCGACCACACCAATGTATCAAATAACCAAATTCTTCTCCCCAAATCCCTTCCAAATCTCCTCTTTCCTATCCCCCACACCTGTCCCATCACCGCTGCCCCTTTCCTTACTCTTTCCTTAATTTGCTCATCTAACCCCCCATTCCTCTGAAATACAAACCCCAAGTATTTAAACTTTTTAACCTCCTCTAATTTCTTCCCTCTCCAGTACCATTCCGTCATTTTTTCTCTTCCCCCACCTTTCCTAAATCGCAACACCTTAGACTTCTCCACATTCAACTCCAATCCCTTCTCTCTTATATACCTTTCAAATCCTTTTATTAAATTTCTCATCCCTTCTTCCTCTTCCGCCATCAACACAATGTCATCTGCATACGCTAAGGAGAAAACCTTACCTCCCTTTACATTTACTCCTCCCCAATCCCCTTTACTCATCTCCTCTTCCAAGTCTGCCAATAACATATTGAATAACCCAGGGCTCAGAGGACAGCCCTGCCTCAACCCTCTTCCTACCCAAAATTCCTTCCCAATCCTTTCCCCCCTTCTCACTCTAATCCTCGTTTCCTTATATAGCTTCATACACCTTTCCACTAACTCTCCTCCTACTCCTCTTTCTCTCATTCCCTTCTCCAACACCTCCCTATTTACAGTATCAAACGCTGCCCTCAGATCCACGAAAAACGCTACCAATTTCCCCTTTTTTTTACTCAAGTTCCTATTCACCAAATAATTCAAAATATAAATGTTGTCCATTGTCCCTTTCCCCTTCCTGAAACCTGCTTGGTTATCCCCTATCAGACCTTTTCTTTCCACCTCCACTCTTAATCTCTCTGCCAATACTCCCGCGTATACTTTATACAAAGTCGAGGTCAGCGTCACTCCTCTGTATTCCTCCAACTTGCTTCCCTCTCCTCTTTTCAACACTGGCACTATAATCCCCTCGTCCCAGTCCCTTATCCAGCCTTCCCCTCTCCATATCCTTACACATATCTTATACACCCATTCCTTCAATCCCACTCCTCCATACTTCCACACCTCCGCCGGAATCCCATCCCCTCCCACCGCCTTTCCATTCTTCATATTCCTTATCACTTTCTCTATTTCCTCCCATCGTATCTCCTCCTCATCATCCTTCCTTAATCCTGATCTCTCTCCCATCACCACCCTCCACTCTACTCCTCCGAATTGCTTCCTAAAATAATCCTCCCTCTCCTTCAATTCTATCTCTACCCCTCCCCCTCTTCTTCTCCTCCTTTCCCCATTCACGATTCCCCACACTTGCCCTTCTGTTCTCGCTCCCTTTACTACCTCCTCCCACCTCCTATTCTCTTCCCATCTCTTTTTCTCACATAATTCTCTATATTCCTTTTTCTCTCTCTTAAAATCCTCTTTCCCCCCTTCATCCCTCCTCCACCTTCTTAATTCTCTTCTTACCCTTTTCTTCTTTTCCCTACACTCCTTATCCCACCATCCTTTTCCATCTATTTTCTTCCCTCTTTCTTCCCTTTTAAAGACCCTCCCCACTAGTTTTTTCATTTCTTCCCATTCAACCTCTATCTCCTTCTCTCCCGTTTCTCTTTTTCCCAATTCTTCCTTCAACCTTTGACTACCTTCCTCCGACCATCTTATCCTTTCCACCCTTTTTATCACCTTCTCCTCCCTTCTTCTTCTCCTCCCACTTCCTCTTACTCTCACCCATACAACCACAGGATGATGGTCTGAATCCATTTTATCCTCCACTACCAATTGCGCCACATCCTCCTTTAACCATGCCTCCCCTATCACGTAGTCGATTACCGACTCTCCCCTCCCTCCAGTATATGTCCACTCCCCATCCTCATCTCCCCTCGTGTCTCCATTCCAAATAGACCATCCCACCTCTTCTATTTTACTCACCAACTTCCTTCCCTCCGCATTGATCTTCCTATCTTTCGATCTCCTTCTTATCTCTTCCCCCCTTTCTTCCTCTTCCACCATTTCCCCACCTTCCCTTCCTGTTCTTGCATTAAAATCACCTCCTACAATTGTTCTCACACTCTCTTCTTTTTCTTCCATTAGACCTTTTATCTCATCCAACATTCTTTCCACTCCTTCACTAATGTACAATCCTATCTCTTTCCACCATCCATCTCCTATTTTTATATTTCTAACCAGAATCCCCTCCCTCTCCTTCCAGTTCACTTCTTCCTTCCATTCTAACTCCTTTTTTACTCCTATCATCATACCCCCTTTCGCTCTACCTTTCTTATTCCTTTTTTTTGCCCACTGCACCTTCCAATTATATTCCCTCGGCATCATGCCTTTCACTTTTTCCCACCCCTTTTCATCCACCCATGTTTCCATTAAACACATTATATCCCACTCCCTTAACCCTTCCCAAAATTCCCTATCCTTATTTCTCAATCCTGCAACATTCCAAAACGCTATCTTTTTTACTTTCTCCCTCTCTCTTCTATCCTCATTCCTACCCCCTCCTACTACCTCCTCCGTCCTTTCCCTACCCTTCCCTTCTATTTTATTATCTCCCTCCCTTCCGCCCTTTGTTCCCCCATACTTCCTCTTTCTCCCTTTCTCTCACTTCTCTCCATCCTTCTCATTTTTTCCAATTCCCCTATTTCCTCATTCCACTTCCACCAATCACTTTCAATTCTTATTTTATCTCCCTCCACCCATACATTCTTTCCCTCTTGCCTTTTCTCTACCGCTATTTTACCCAACTCTCTTCTTATTTCCCTTTCCTTCCACGTCCAGTCCTCATCACTCCAAATCCTCAATCCCCTTAGGGACTTCTTCTGTCCCCATATTAACTTCTTATCTTTTTCCCTTCTTAGTTTAATCCACACCATATCCCCCCTCTCTCCCTTTCCTATACTCAATCTCCTCATTTCTTCACAACTTACCTCTACCCCCATTTCTCTCCATATCTTTTCCACTCCCCATCTCCAATCACCTTTTTCCTTCTGCACCCCTTTAATCACTAAGTTCTTTTTTCTTCTTTCCTCTCTATCCCTCCACTCCAAATTCCTTTCAATCTGATCCACCCTTCCTTCAAATTTCTCCTTACTCTTTCTACTCCCTATATCCCCTTCCTTCTTTCCTTTTCCAATTATTCCTTGATAAGGGATTATATGATAAGGGAGGAGTTGCAGAGAGAGCTTTTGAAAGGAAAGGCGGGAATAAGGGCAGTGGGATATGAAGAAAGGATTAGAAGAGGTGAAGGGGGGATGGTTATGGGAAGATGTTGGGAGGAAATAAGGAGTAGAGCGGAGAAGGGGGAGGAGTTATCAGAATGGGAAAGAGAGAGAATGGAGTATTACGGGAGAAGAGAGATGGAGATGAGTTCGGAAAGGGAGGAAGAGGGTTATGACGGGAGGAGGATGGCGAAATTAATAGAAAGAGAAAAGGATATACAGAGAAGTGAGAGATGGGAGAGAATAAAGAATTCGAAGTATAACGGGTGATATCAAAGGATAAAAGGTGAGGGAATTCCGGGATATTTGAAGAAAGAATGGGGGGAAAGAAGATGGCAAAGGGTGGCGAGATATAGGTTAGGGAATGGTATGAGGGGAGCAAA